TAGGAAGCCGGTTAGGGGTGGTAGGCCTCCTAGAGATATGAGAATGGGTGCTATTAGCGGTGCTAGGTGGGTTGATTTGTTTCAGGTGCGGGATAGTATGAGGGTTGTGGTGCTTGAGCTTAAGTTGAGGGTTAGGAATATGGTAGTTGTTAGGATAATGTATGTAGTTAAATAGAAAATTGTAGTTGCTGGGTTGTATACAAGTGTTATCATTATTCAACCCATGTGTGTGATTGAAGAGTACCCTAGGATCTTGCGTAATTGTGTTTGGTTTAGACCTCCTCAACTGCCTACCGCAATGGATAGGGTGGAGAGGGTTAGGAGGATGTGGGTGTTGATTGATGGGTGAATTTGGTACATGATTGAGATGGGGGCTAGTTTTTGTCATGTAAGAAGGAGTAGACCTGAGGTTAGGGGTGTTCCTTGGGTGACTTCTGGGACTCAGAAGTGGAAGGGGGCTATTCCTAGTTTTATGGCGAGGGCGGTTGTTATTATTAGGGATGGGGGTTGGCTGATGTAGTTCGTTGTTGTTCAGCACCCTGATAGCAGGTTGTTGGAGATGATTGCTATTATGAGGACTATAGATGCGGTAGATTGAATTAGGAAGTATTTAGTAGCGGCTTCTGTGGAGCGGAGGCTTGTTTTTTTTATTAAGATCGGAATGAAAGCTAGTATGTTTATTTCTAGGCCTGTTCAGGCGAGAAATCAGTGTGAGCTTAGTGTTGTGATAAGTGTGCCTGTGATTATTGTGGTGTAGATAATGGGTTGAGCTAGTGGGTTAATTAGTACGGGAAGGATGTGACCAACATTTTCGGGGTATGGGCCCGATAGCTTGTTTAGCTGACCTTACTTTAGGATAGAGTGTGTAGGGTAGCACGGAGAAGTTTGGATTCTCAGGGGTAGGTTCGATACCTACAGTCCTAGAAACAAGAGGATTGGGGCCTCTATTATTTACTCCATCAAAGTAACTCTTTTGTCAGACATATTTCTAGGTTTGAGGGGGAATGCTGGAGATTGCGATGGGTATTGAGGTGGATCATATGAGTAGTGCTAGTGTGAGGGGGAGGAAGTTTTTTCATAGTAGGTGTATAAGTTGGTCGTAACGGAATCGGGGGTATGCTGCCCGGATTCATAGGAATAGGGAGGTTAGGAAGAGTGTTTTGGTGGCGAAGCATGTTGTGAATAGTTCTGGTGAATAAGTGGAGTGGGATGTGCCTAGGAAGATTGTGGTTGTTAGGGCGTTTATTATGATGATGTTTGTGTATTCGGCTATGAAGAATAGGGCGAATGGACCTGCGGCGTATTCAATGTTGAAGCCTGATACTAATTCTGATTCGCCCTCTATGAGATCAAAAGGGGTTCGGTTTGTTTCTGCTAGTGTGGAGGTAAATCATATTATGGCTAGGGGTCATGATGGTAGGAGGAGTCATAGATGCTCTTGCGTTGTAATGAGTGTGTTAAGGTTAAATGAGCCGCTTATTAGTAGGACTGATAGGAGGATAATAGTAAGGGTGACTTCATATGAAATTGTTTGGGCGACGGCTCGCAGAGCTCCGATTAGGGCGTAGTTTGAGTTTGATGCTCATCCTGATCATAGGATGGAGTAGACAATTAGGCTGAGTATGGCTAGGATGAATAGGAGCCCTAGGTTGAAGTTGATTAGAGCGTTGGGTATGGGGAGGGGGGTTCATAGGAGGAGGGCAATGAAGAAGGCTAGAGCAGGTGCGACGACATAGAGGATGGTGGTAGATGTTGCGGGTTTCAGGGGTTCTTTAGTGAAAAGTTTTACGGCATCGGCGAAGGGTTGTAATAGTCCGCATGGACCTACAATATTGGGCCCTTTTCGTAGTTGCATGTGGCCTAGTAATTTTCGTTCAACGAGTGTGAGAAATGCTATGGCGGCTAATGTGGGTATGATTATAAGTAGGAGATTTACTGTGGTCATGGTGTTAAGAAGAGGAATTGAACCTCTGGTTACAAAGTTTTAAGTTTTATGCAATTACCGGGCTCTGCCATCTTAACAAACCCTGTTTTCGGGTGGAATGTGTGGTATTTTGCTAAATTAAGACTAGGTCATTTATGTAGTGAAGGCGCTTTGTGAAGTGGGCCTTATTTCTCTTGTCCTTTCGTACAGGGAGAAATGTGCAATAGATAGAAACCGACCTGGATTGCTCCGGTCTGAACTCAGATCACGTAGGACTTTAATCGTTGAACAAACGAACCCTTGATAGCTGCTGCACCATTAGGATGTCCTGATCCAACATCGAGGTCGTAAGCTCTATTGTCGATATGGACTCTAGAATAGAATTGCGCTGTTATCCCTAGGGTAACTTGTTCCGTTGATCAAGTTATTGGATCAATTATAAGTGTTAGTTCGCTTTGACTTGTGTGGTCTTAGCATGTGTTATTCGGAGGTTTTGTTGTGCTCCGAGGTCGCCCCAACCAAAATTTTTAATGCAGGTGTCGATAGTTTAAAGGTCCGTGGGTTTGTGTAATTTTTGATTGCATTAATAGATTAAAGCTCCATAGGGTCTTCTCGTCTTATTATACTATGTCCGCCTCTTCGCGGGCAGGTCAATTTCACTGGTTAAAAGTAAGAGACAGTTAAACCCTCGTGGTGCCTTTCATGCGAGTCCCCATTTAAAGAACAAGTGATTATGCTACCTTTGCACGGTCAGGGTACCGCGGCCGTTAAACGTGTGTCACTGGGCAGGCAGTGCCTCTAATACTAGTAATGCTAGAGGTGATGTTTTTGGTAAACAGGCGGGGTTTAGGTTTGCCGAGTTCCTTTTACTTTTTTTAACCTTTCCTTGAGGCATGCCTGTGTTGGGTTAACAGTGAAGGTAGCATGGGCTTGTTTGTGCTTGCTATGCCTGGCTGTTAGGTATCGGTGAGGTTTTCGATCCGATTTGGGCTTATGCAGTGGAGAAAATATTCATGTTACTTATACTAGCATTATTGCTTCTATATGGTGATAGATTAATCCAATGTGGTGTGAGGAGTTCAGCTATGTGTTTGGTATTTTTGGGGTGGTTAGTGTTGAGCTTGAACGCTTTCTTAATTGATGGCTGCTTTTAAGCCAACTATGGTAATTGAGGATTTTACTCTCTCTATAAGGTTTTTTCCTAGTGTCTAAAGAGCTGTCCCTCTTTAGACTAGCAATTAAGCTTACAGGGAGATTAGGTGGTTCTATAGGTAAGCTTAAGGTCGAACTAAGATTCTGTCTTGGATAACCAGCTATCACCAGGCTCGGTAGGCTTGTCACCTCTACCCAGAAATCTTCCCACTATTTTGCCACATAGATGGGTGCGCTCTTTTAGCTGTTTTTGGGTAGCTCGTCTGGTTTCGGGGAATTTGGCTTGTAGTTCTCTTTGTGAAATTGTTTCTAGCTAATTCATTATGCGAAAGGTACAGGGGTTAGTCCTTGCTGTTTTGTGCTTGGGTGGTTTCATCTTTCCCTTACGGTACTGCGTCTATAGCGCCAGATTAAAATTTCTATCGCCTATACTTTGTGTAGGTGAATGGTTTAGTGCGTGTTAGTTTGGTATTAGTGTTGGTTATGCTTAGGGCTAGTATTGGCTCAAGGCAATCAAGTGGTATTGAGATTTTCTGGGTGTAGGCCAGGTGCTTTATATTAAGCTATGCCTTGATTTATCCAAGCGCACCTTCCAGTACGCTTACCATGTTACGACTTATCCTCTCTATATAAATATTAGGGCGTTTAGTTAAGATGTTCCTTAAATATATTTGAGAGGAGTGACGGGCGGTGTGTGCGCGCTTTATGGCCTGGTTCAATTAAGCACTCTATTCTTAATTTACTGCTAAATCCTCCTTGGACCCTTAAATTTCATAAGGGTTTTCGTGGAATTTTCTGAGGTAGAAAATGTAGCCCATTTTTTACCGTCTCATAGGCTACACCTTGACCTAACGTGTTTGCGGCAATGGCATTTGCGCTCACTTTGTGACCCTCATTAGGGTTTGCTGAAGATGGCGGTATATAGGCTGAGCAAGAGAGGGTGGGGTGGATCGGGGTTTATCGATTACGGAACAGGCTCCTCTAGGGGGTGTAAAGCACCGTCAAGTCCTTTGAGTTTTAAGCTATAGCTTGTAGTATTCTGGCGAGTAGTTTTGTTATCTAACTACTGAGGTTTAGGGCCAAGCATAGTAGGGTGTCTAATCCCAGTTTGGGTCCTGGCTATTGTGTGTTCAGAAGCTTTAAAGCCACTTTCGTAGTTTATTTTACATCAGCTAGAGTTTTACAGTTTAGATGGAGTTTAGCTTTATTATATCAGATCTTAAACACCCTCTACGCCGGTCTCTATTAGCTAGGGTTAATCGTGTAACCGCGGTGGCTGGCACGAAATTGACCAACCCTAAATATAGCATGGCTTAGTTGAACTTTCGTTTATTGCTAAATATTTGTCACTGCTGTCTCCCGTGGGGGTGTGGCTAGGCAAAGCGTTTTGAGCTGCGTGTGCGTGCTTGATGCTTGCTCCTCTTGGTCATGATGATTTGTAGGGCGTCTTCACCGGAGCGAGGATGTTTGCATGTGTAATCCTGCCAAGAGCTAATAGAAAGGCCAGGACCAAGCCTATATGTTTATGGGGTGTGCAAACCCATCTAGGCATTTTCAGTGTCTTGCTTTGGGTGGGTTTAAGCTACATAAACAAAGGTGCTAGTATAGTTGTGAGGCAGCCTCTTTCGGGTTGTATGAGAAGGATTTGTTGCGGGTTGGTGTAGAGGGTGTTTAGTGAAGTAAATGTTTATTAGTTGAGGGAGTGGCAGTTGGAGTTGTGCACACCTAAAAGATGGAAATATAGGCTCTGATCGGATATGTTAAGACTTTTGTTTTTGGGGTTTGGCAAGAGTGGGGTTTGGATGAAGGTCGGAGATGGGGGTGGGGGGGTTTGATAAGATACGGTTAGTGATGTGTGGTGTGGTGTGGTGTGGTGTGGTGTGGTGTCGGCTGGGATGATTATTGGTATGTCCTACAAGCATGAATTAAATAACACCTTGCTAAGGTTTGTGTGGAGCTAGAATATTGAACGTAGGTGCGATCAACAACTGCATGTACTAGGAATCAAAGACAGGCGCATACAGGACGGGATGTGGTGGGAGTCAGCATTCTGCAATGGGGTTGCGTGCAGACCAGAGATAAAAGATACCAAATGCATGGAAATCTCCCGTGACTGGTTAATAGGGTGATAGACCCGTGATCCATCGAGATGTCTTATTTAAGGGGAACGTGTGGGCGATCTTGATTGTTATGGCCCTGAGGTAAGAACCAGATGCCGGATACAGTTCAGGTATAGCTACCCCCACGAGTTATGGGCCCGGAGCGAGGAGAGTAGCACTCTTGTGCGGGATATTGATTTCACGGAGGATGGTGAGTAAGGGATTCCTAAGTGAAGGGGAGCATCCGTGGTGAGGAGGGTTATTTAATAGATATGTGCTATGTCCGATGAACGATTTAATGTACTATGGACGACTGGCAAGGACTGGTTTAGTTGATATTCATGAGGGGGGACAAGTTAAGTCCGAGGGAACCATGTTATGTGTTACTGTTGAGGTTTGTATTAGGATACTTGCTTGTAAGCATGCTGTTTGGAATGTCAAGTTGGTATGTAATAATATGTGTTATGTACAGTTAAGCATATATAGTACTATATATTATACATGTTGGCTAGCAGTAATGCACGAATTACATAGTAGTATTATGGGTGGATTGGTGCTAGAGTTATTTATGAAGCTTATGCAATATAAGAATGCAGAAAGTAGTTTAAATTAGAATGCCAGCTTTGGGTGTTGGTGGTGGAGTTAGGTACTTTCTTTCTGACTGCCCTAGGAAGAGTGTTCATTTCTGGTTTACAAGGCCAGTGTACTAATTTATACTACGAGGGCAAGTTCACTTGAGTAGGTTGTTTTCGATTAGGGAGGCCAGTGGTATTAGGATTAGAATTGTGATGAAGTATATTATGGATGCTACTTGGCCGATAGTGGTAAGGGGTTGGACTACTGGTTCGCTTCCAATTCAGGTAAGGGTCAATAGGATTGTGATTAGGAGTCAGAATAGAAATTGGCTGAGTGGGCGGAATATTATGCTTTGTTGTTTGGATTTGTGAAGTATAGGGATGGCTGCTAGAATGAGGATCGATAGAAAGAGTGCTAGTACGCCTCCCAGTTTGTTGGGGATGGATCGTAGGATTGTGTATGCAAATAGGAAGTATCACTCTGGTTTGATATGTGGGGGAGTGTTTAATGGGTCGGCTGGAATGTAGTTGTCTGGGTCGTTTAGGAGGTTGGGTGAGAGTAGTGTTAGTGTTGCTAGGATGAAGAGAAGGAGGACTAGGCCCAGGATGTCTTTGGTTGTGTAGTAGGGGTGGAAGGCGATTTTGTCTGAGTCGGAGGAGATTCCGCAAGGGTTGTTTGATCCTGTTTCGTGCAGGAATAGTAGGTGCACGGTTGTGAGGGCGATGATGATGAAGGGTAGGATAAAGTGTAAGGTGAAGAATCGTGTGAGAGTAGGGCTGTCGATGGCGTATCCTCCTCAGATTCATTGGACGAGATTGGTTCCGATATACGGGATTGCTGATAGCAGGTTTGTGATTACTGTTGCTCCCCAGAATGATATTTGGCCTCATGGGAGAACATAACCCATGAAAGCCGTTGTTATAGTTATAAGAAGGAGTATAATACCAATGTTTCAGGTTTCTAGGAGGAGGTATGAGCCGTAGTAAAGGCCCCGACCGATGTGTAGGAAAAGGCAAATGAAGAGTATAGAGGCACCATTGGCGTGGAGGTAGCGAGTGATTCAGCCGTACTTTACATCTCGGGTGATATGTGCAATTGAGGAGAAGGCGGAGGAGGTGTCTGGTGAGTAGTGTATTGCTAGGAGTAGGCCTGTGATGATTTGTAAAATTAGGCAGGCTGCAAGAAGTGAGCCAAAGTTTCACCATATGGAGAGGTTGGGTGGGGCGGGTAAATCGATGAGGGAGCGATTAATTATTTTTAGGATTGGGTTGGATTTGCGTATTGGAGTCATTGGTGCTTTTATAGTTGAAATACAACGATGGTTTTTCGTACCATTAGTCATGGTTGGAGTCCATGTGAAAGCAATGACGTATATTTTGTTTGCATTGAGTGTTTTATTAGTTATGGGGTTTGTGGGGTTTTCTTCTAAGCCTTCTCCTATTTATGGGGGTCTGGCGTTAATTGTTAGTGGTGTGATTGGTTGTGTGATTGTTTTAAGTTGTGGGGGGGCTTATATGGGTTTGATGATGTTTTTAGTTTATCTGGGGGGTATGATGGTTGTTTTTGGTTATACTACTGCAATGGCTATTGAAGAGTATCCTGAGACATGGGGTTCGGGGTTTGAGGTTTTAGGGGGTCTTTTAGTAGGGTTGATAATGGAGGTGGTATTAGTTTTATGGGTTTTAAGTTTGGATGAGGCGGTAGAAGTGGTGGTTAGTTTTAGTGATACTGGTGATTGGGTGATTTTTGAGGGGGAGGGGTCAGGATTGATTCGAGGTGATTCTATTGGTGCGGGTGCCTTATATGATTATGGGCGTTGATTAGTGGTAGTTGCTGGTTGGACATTATTTGTTGGTGTGTATGTTGTGATTGAGATTGTTCGGGGTAATAGGTTATATCATTAGAATTAGGGCTAGGGTAAGGGGGATGAGGAAAGAAAGGGAGTAGAGTTTGATTATGCCTTTTTGGGTGGTTACAGTTATGGAGGCAGTAATGTGTGCTTGTGAGATTATTTTAGGTATAGATTTCTCTAGTCATGCTGAATCCAATAGGAGAAGGGCTAAATTTTGGCTTATGAGTAGGTTTTGATAGGGGATTGTGCGGTGAATTGTGGTGGGAAAATATCCTAGTATATTGGAGAATTTGAATATTTGTGATGGGTTTTTTATTTTCAGTTTGTTTGTTATAAGGGTGAGGTCTAGGGCTGCTAGGAAGCCTAGGACAGTTGCGCATAGAGCTGAGAGTTTTAAGTAGAGGGGTATTGTTGGTTGGGGGAGTAAGGTGGGGGGGATGTTGTTGGTGATAAGAAATCCTGTGATTATGCTGCCCATTGTGAGGCGTTTAATTGGGTTTAGTAGAGCGGGGTTGTTTTCGTTGATGTTTGTTAGGGCTGGAAAACGGGGTTGTCCTGTTAGGGTGAGAAGGATAGTTCGAGTGCTATAGGCGCTTGTTAGAGAGGTAGTGATGAGAGTGATGAATAGGGCTCAGGCGTTGGTGTACGACGTGTTTGTGGCTTCGATAATAAGGTCTTTGGAGTAGAAGCCTGTGAGGAAGGGTATTCCTGTGAGTGCTAGGTTGCCAATGATTATGGAAGTTGAGGTGAGGGGTATTGTTTTGAATAGGCCTCCTATTTTTCGAATGTCTTGTTCGTTGTTTAGGTTATGGATAATGGATCCGGAGCATATAAAAAGTATGGCTTTAAAGAAAGCATGGGTGCAGATGTGTAGGAATGCTAAGTATGGTTGGTTGATGCCGATGGTGATTATTATTAGGCCTAGTTGGCTTGAGGTGGAGAAGGCTACAATCTTTTTAATGTCGTTTTGTGTAAGGGCGCAGATGGCTGTAAATAGGGTAGTAATAGCCCCCAGGCATAATGTAAGATTTTGAATTATTGTGTTGGTTTCTATTAGAGGGTGGAAGCGGATGAGTAAGAACACTCCGGCAATGACTATGGTACTGGAGTGAAGTAGGGCTGAGACTGGAGTTGGGCCTTCTATGGCAGAGGGTAGTCAGGGGTGAAGACCGAATTGAGCTGATTTTCCTGCTGCTGCTAGGAGGAGGCCTATTAGTGGGAGGGAGCTTGAGTTGAAATTTAGGGCTAGTATTTGTTGGAGGTCTCATGAGTTGTAATGTAGGAGAAATCATGCTATGGCTAGGATAAGACCAATGTCGCCAATGCGATTATATAAGATTGCTTGGATGGCTGCTGTGTTGGCGTCTGTTCGAGCGTATCATCAGCTAATTAGGAGAAAAGATATGATTCCTACGCCCTCTCAGCCGATAAGGAATTGGAAGAGGTTGTTAGCAGTGACTAGAATTAGTATGGCAGTGAGGAAAATAAGAAGATATTTGAAGAATTGGTTGATGTTTGGGTCTGAGTTTATGTATCATAGCGAGAATTCTATGATGGACCAGGTGATGAATAGTGCGATTGGAATAAATATCATGGAGAAGTAATCTAGTTTGAAGCTTAGTGTTAGGTCTAATGTTTGGGCTATTATTCAATGTCAGCTCCAAATGGTTGTTTCTTGGTTCGAGAAGATGAATAAGGTTGTTGAGGGGAGGCTGATGGTGAAAGCATATATTACGGTTGTTTTTACGTAATCTGGGTATGGACGTTTTTTGTAAGGGTTGATGAGGGTGGCAAAAATTGGGAGGGTTAGGGAGATAAGGGTTGTTATTATGATGGGGGTGTGCATGGTTATTACTTTTATTTGGAGTTGCACCAATGTTTTTGACTCCTAAGGTCAATGGATAGCTGTTATCCTTTAAAAGTTGAGAAAACCGTAATTTTAGGTACGGGTACATGGGTTAGCAATCCTTGTGAGTTTTCTCGGTAAATAAGAGGTGGTAAGTCTCTGTGGTTAGATTCACAATCTAATGTTTTAGTTAAACTATATCTACAGGAGGTAAATCCTAGGATGATGTTGGGATTGAGAGACAGAAGGATAATTGGGGCGAGGTGTATGAATATTAATATATTTTCTCGTGTGAAGGAGGGTTTTATGTTGATTATATGGTGTGTAAGTATTCCTCGTTGCGTTGTAATGAATATGTGGAGAGAGTAGAGGGCCGTAATTAGTATATTAAGCCCTGTCAACATAATGGTGATATGGGATCAGGAAAATGAGGTCGTGATTACAAAGAGTTCGCCTAGTAGGTTGATAGTGGGGGGCAGGGCAAGGTTAGTAAGGCTTGCTGTTAATCATCAGAAGGCTGTTAGTGGGAGTAGGATTTGAAGTCCTCGGGACAGTAGTATGGTACGGCTGTGGGTGCGTTCATAGTTTGAATTGGCTAGGCAGAAGTACATGGAAGAGGTGAGTCCGTGAGCGATTATAAGGATGGTTGCGCCGGAAAAGCTTCAGGGGGTTTGGATGAGAGAGGCTACAATTACAAGGGCCATGTGGCTTACAGAAGAGTATGCGATAAGTGATTTTAGATCTGTTTGTCGGAGGCATGTTAGGCCTGTTATGATTATGCCCCATAAGGATAATATGAGGAATGGGTAAGCTATGTATTCTGTTAAGGGGTTAAGGATGGGAGTAAGTCGTATTATGCCGTAGCCACCTAGTTTTAGGAGTACTGCGGCAAGGACTATTGATCCTGCAATGGGGGCTTCGACATGGGCTTTAGGAAGTCACAGGTGTAGGCCATATAGGGGTATTTTTGTCATAAAGGCTATTATGCATGCTAGTCAGGTAAAGTTGTGAGATCAGGTGGTTGTTAGTTTTTGGTCTGTGAGTGTTAGTAATGTAATATTTAATGAGCCTGTGTTGTTGTAGGTGTGGCTTAGTATGATGAGTAGGGGTAGAGAGCCGGTTAGTGTATAGAATAGAAAGTAGGTACTTGCGTTGAGGCGTTTTGCTTGGTTGCCCCATTTAGTAATGATAATTAGGGTGGGAATTAGGGTGGTTTCAAATAGAATGTAGAATATAATTAGCTCTGTGGCCATGAATGTCAGAATTAGGGTGATTTGTAGGAGAATTATTGTGAAGAGGAAAAGTTTTTTTTGTGAGGGGGGTTCGTTATATAGGTGATACTGGCTCGCTATAATCATGAGGGGTAGAAGTCAGATAGTTAGTGTTAGGAGGGGTGCTGCTAGTGGGTCAGAAGATAGATAGGTTGAGTGATTGAGGAGGTTGGTGCTGGTTTGGTTGAAGAATAGTAAGGGGATGAGGCTGATAGTTAAGCTATGCATGGTCAAGTTGATTCAAATTGTATTATTTTTAGAGAGTCATGTTATGGGTAGTAGTATGGTTGTGGGAATAATTATTTTTAGCATTGAAGCAGGTTTAGGTTGTGGACGTAGTCTAGTCCGTATGTGTTGGAGATTGAGATTAGTAGGGCAAGACCTACTGCTGTTTCACAGGCGGCAAATACTAACAAAATGATGGGTATAATGTTGATTAGGGGGAAGTGTGTGTTTGAGGCAATAAGGGTGGCCATAATAAAGAGCGATATTATTATTCCCTCTAGGCAGAGGAGAGAGGCTACTAGGTGTGAGCGGTAGGTTAGTATACCTAGAAGAGAGATAGCGAATGCTAGTATAATGTTTATATAGGTAAGGGTCATTTGGTTAGTATGGTTATCATAATCTAATGAGTCGAAATCATTTATTTTATTTAAACTACTTACCAATTCGGCCCAGTCTAACCCTTTTTGGGTTCATTCATAGGTTAAACTGAGAATTAGGATAATAATAAAGGCAATGGTCGATTTGATTATTATTGGGAGGTTTGTTGTTTGAATGGCTCACGGTAGAGATAGTAGTAGGGCGATTTCTAGGTCAAATAGCAGGAAAGTAATGGCAACTAGGAAGAATTTTATTGAGAATGGGATGCGAGCAGGGTTTAGGGGGTCAAATCCGCACTCGTAGGGGCTGGTTTTTTCTGTATAGGGGTTGAGCTGGGGTAGTCAGAATATGATAATTATCAGTAGCGAGGTTAATAGGGTGTTGATTGTTAGGGCTAGCACTAGATTAATTACTCTCTTTTGAATGTTGTCAAAACTGATTGATTGGAAGTCAATTGTACTTGTTATACTAAAAGAGTAGGATCCTCATCAATAGACAGAAATATAGAGGAGTAGTCAGACAACATCTACGAAGTGTCAATATCAAGCGGCAGCTTCGAAGCCGAAGTGATGGTTCGATGTGAAGTGGTGTAGTAGTTGGCGGATGAGGCAGATAAAGAGGAATGTGGATCCGATAATAACATGGAGTCCATGGAAGCCTGTGGTTATGAAGAATGTTGAACCGTAGATGCCATCGGAGATGACTCAAAAATAAACTAAAATAACATAAAATTATAGACCCAGGGGGTACATGTGCAGGTATTGTACATGAATGTATTGCATAGTGATGAGGTTTGTTTCTAGTGTACCCAAATATTGAACATTGTACCCAATAGGTAATTTTTCAACCTTCACCAACCTCCCAGCCTCTCCCATTTTGGAGTCCCTGGTGTCTGTTATTTTGTCTTCATGTCCATATGTACTCTTTGTTTGGTTCCCATGTAAAAGTGAGAACATGTGGTATTTGATTTCCTGTTTCTGATATATCACTTAGGATAATGATCTCCAGCTTCATCCATGTTGCTGCAGAAGATATGATTTTATTCTTTTTGAAGATGCATTATATTCCATAGTGTATATATACTATATTTTTTATTCAGTCATCAGTTGATATTCACCTAGGTTGATTCCATGATTTTGTTATTGTGAATAGTGTTGTACTTTCGTTTAATATGATCTCATTTGTCTAT